ATTGGTTCTTTCAATCTCTAACAAATAGTACACTCTCACCTTGGTCTAGTCCATTTACTTGGCTACGACCAAAGGGGTTCAAATGCGAGGTAGGTACTAGAAACCTGAAGTGCAGAGTGGATTGGTCGGAGAGATACTCACCCAATTAAAACTCAAACATACAATAAATAATATGTATTTAACAGAATCAGAGTTTTACATTTAAGTGGTCAGAGATTTTCTCTCTATGGTGTTTGTAAGAATTTATAAAAAGACCACCCTATTTACAATTAGTAGTAAAAGGTTGGTTGTTTGAAAGAGAGTGTACTGAATCAATAAACCAAATGACAGACCATAGAAAAAAGAAATTAAAAACTAAATCAACAAGTGCAAAATTTTGCATCAAAACGTAATGTAAAAAAATCAAGACTGGTCCACTAGTCGAAGTAGGTGTACATTTCACTCGTAGTACTTGAAGTAGTGGTCGAAGTACTCCAAATACTGGCAGTAATAGTTGAAGTGTTCCAAGTAGTTGTGGAAGTACTCGAAAAACCGAAAAACAAATCAAATTAAATTAAAAGAAGAATTAAGATACAACCAAAACGAATTTAAAATTTAAAAAACTGTATTTAGAACATGTTCGACAAGATTTCCTTTATTTTCCAAACACATTTGTGGACTAATGCTAGCAAATGCTTCCAGAACAACCCCCCTCAGTTCTTCTTCCGTTGCAAAATTTTGCTGATAAACACGATGTATGAAGCACCTACCTTGAAGTGTACATAATTGCATGACCACCCAGTACGTGAACACCCGATATCTGGAGGCGCTCGGTTATGATACTGTCGTGCCAAAACTCAAAAATATTTGTGTTGGTTCTATGAGTTGAAGTTAGAGAGAAAAGGTAATTGATTTAATTTGCCGTTACCGTAAACAACAGCTGTAATTAACTCAACGTTTGGAACCGTTCCCGTCAAGATATTTCAACTATCTTTGTTGCGTCCGAAATCTCTTGTCATTTAGAACACGAGGGCAAATTAATATTTTAGAATTTCAGTCCCGTTAAGTAATTATTAGATGATTTTGGTTTCCTATGTTTTCAAACGAGCATTAAAGTTGCAATACCATGCAGGTTTACGCCGGTATCAAGCTTTTTCCTGACCGGGGAAATTTCAAGTGACAATGGGGGTTAATTAGAGATATGAATTTAGAAATTTCATCTCGCACATTTAAGTGAATATAATTAACAGTATCTAAGTATATGAGTTGCAGTAAACAGCGTAAACAGTGAGTAGTTTCGTTAGAAGCGCGCTTAATTAATTGACATTTTGGAATATGTCCCCGATTTTTATGATGATCAGAAGGCAAGAAATTAATTAAAGACCTTTTAATTTTTGGACGTTCTTATCCAAATACCCTGGGCTGATTGCGAAAACCGGCGTTCTCTCCATGGCATGACCACATTTTATAAAAGACAAAGCCGTTGTTTAGAAGGGATGTTTCTGCCTTTAGTGTTTTAATCGAAATATAAGATCGTTTTGCTTTTTCATTTTGCTAGTTACATTTGTAAGTACCGCATTGATTTTTGAGACTTTCCGTAAATTTATTTTGAATTCATACCGATTAATTTTTGCTTTTACATTAAATTTACCGCACCGTATTTACAGCTTTTGCTTTTTCTCGAACAGTAACTTCTACCGCTCCGCTTAATTGCGAGGTAAGCTGTTTGCTATTTTCTGTTCTATTTATTAGACCCCCCCCCCCCCCCCAATCACTTCGGAAGAACTACGGCGAATTACGGCGCACGGCACATATGGCAAATCCCCTAGCGGAAATTAAAGCAACAAAACACAAATTAATTAGCAGTGTCTATGGGAAATCAAATGCAGGAAAGCGAAACAATATCCCCCATATATTCCAAACTATTCCAACTTTCGAAATGCAAAATGCCAACGTCGCTAAATAAACAAACAAATAATTAAATAAATAACTAAATAAATAAACAGACAAACAAACAAATAAATAAATAATATAGATCAATGTGAGAAGGAAAAACAAATTTAAAAAAATGACGTAGACATATACAGGGTGTTGCATTTAAAAAATACCAACGTTGGGTCAAATCTCAGAAACGGTGGTCCGACAAAATATTTCAAATACGCAGTTTTTACTTTTTCCTACGTTACGTGGGTAGTAAGATATAGCATCCCAAACAGTCAAACTTTTCGTTTTCACCCTGTATCTCAGAAACAAACGTAGCTCGATTGATTTTGTTTGTGGTATTAAAAGTTTCACAAAAAAGTAGCACAGAGTCACAAAAACCGCAAGTCTTTATCTTTAAAAGCAGCCGAGGAACACTGCACTCTCAACCAAAATGGTACACTGCACCTTGTAGCACCTTCCGATATGACGATCATCTAAATGGCGCTATCCGTTCCACACACTGCGCATGTCTGAAGTATTTTCGTATAAGTTTGCTTTTCAAAAAATTTAAGAATAAACTTTTAAAATAACCTACAAATAACCTAATGTCCAACTCCTGACTAACTCGATAACCTGGAAACGAATGAATTTAGATACATTATGCTTCTTACAAATTTCCCTTAAAATTGATGGAAGAATTGAAATATCGAATAATATACAGGGTGTTCCTTTTAAAAAACTGCAATACGCGTCTTTATGACCAGCCTTTTATAATTAAAATTATAACTGCCTAGTAGACATTAAAGAACCCCAAAACTGTTGTACACAACTTTGTTTGATATCTTGTAGATTTTCTCCAATAATCGACTGTTTCAGCAACCCTCTATTATAATAGGGTGTTGAGGGGAATAGGGGATGTTATTTATTAAAACAAATTTAGGACTCTTTCCTTACAGTGTTGTCATTTAAGGTGTAATACAAGAAAGAGAATTCAAGCTTTATTCTCGTAAATGTCGTATTTGGTTCCGTCAATTAGAGAAAGAAAGTGGGTACTTTTGCATTAAAAGCTCTAACGGGGAAATTCAGAAAGGAGATTATTTTCACGAGTGATCAAAAGTGATTAAAAATCACGTGTGAGGATTTTCCACTATTTAACAAATATTTCGACAATTTAAATGAATTATGTTCATCTTGAGGTAACGAATACAAACAAAATTTAAAGTTCAGTTGTTTTTTATTTATGAGAGGCGACTCCAGAGGTGCAGTTTAGTGATTTCCAACTTGAAGGAAGTAGACGTGACCTCTGTTGAGCTAGCCCGGGAAATTATTAAATTAGTTAATTTGGTAATCGATAGTTTAGGTATGCCGCTACATGCAGTAGATGATTAAAACTAAATCCTTTTTTATGAACTAAGTTGGTGAAAACGCATTATCTTAATGCGTAGGACGCCAATTTTGATGCATTATGGGACAAAGAGATGTTTACGAAAAACGATGTCAAAATGGTATAAAAGCATTATTATTTATTTCCTGGATGTTATGCATGTATGATGATGGCATTTTTAGCAAAAGATATCAAAACCAACAGAAGAGATAAATTTTGACATTTTTTTAGTAATTCCGGTTTTACAAACTGGTAATCGCAAAAAAAGAAAGAAAAATATTTCCTTGGAGGCCTGAGACTGTATTTGCACATCCAACAGCTATAGAGTTTATAAGGGAGAAACCATCAGGAAACATTTGAAAATTACCATGAGGTTGTAGATTGTTATCCATACTACATTGTCATTTTGGAAAAAAAGGGGAATTATTATTCCGATAAGTTCACAGGCACGTAAGATAATTAAAAGTACTTTCAATGAACATATATGCAGGTAAACAAAAAATTGAATAATTTCAATAAAGATACAAAGAAAGGTCGTTAACCAGAAATTCGAGAAATAATTGTTTATGATCCTTGAAGTTGTTATTGCGATAGATAATGTAGGATATTTAAAAATTCAGTCAGAATTGCTTAATACATATATCGTGCCTTTCTCGAGAAAAAGACAAGGGATTGAGTTGCGAAAGTCTGGCGGATATGGGAAAGCTCAGAAGCAGTCATAGGCTGATTTATTCTGATCAAATCAATTAAGACTGATAATGTACCTATAACCAAATTTTGGCCTTGATTTCTAGTAAAAATGTAGGTAACTACTATACTTATAGCTAGCACCTTCTACTTCGCACGTGTATGCGGAAGTCGACGAAATAACGTACTGGAAACTTTAAAGAAATTTTCCAACGAAAACCTGCTGTCGTATTAAAAACCGTGCTTCATTACATAATACACTATAACAAGATAATTAACCAAATTTATTAATTTTGACAATTTTTTATTACCAGAAATCTGATACATAAAAAAAACGTTCGAATGACCAAATTAATGACAATTCACAAATTCCGATTCTGGGTTTTTACGTCACAACATCGAAAAAAATGAGTTATCACTCAATAAATTAGTGCCAATAGAAATATCAACCGCTTCGAGAATATATTCGCAACGGAATCTCTTCTTTTTTATTTTCTGTTAATTCTGTTACCACGCGTATTAAATTATTCATGAGGTAACATATGCACAATAGCTATGCTACTTAAAAGAAAGTGAAGATACGTTGAGACTTGGTAAATGAAAGTGTTCTTATGCAAATATTTACAGCATCTCTACCCCATGGACATAAAGCGCAAATTCCAACGAATAAAAATACCAGTCTAAGTGGCCACTTCAGTGTTGTACCTTTATACAATGATTGTACCTATCAGCACAAAATTCATATTTTTATAATCGAGCCTTGCCAAATATCAAATTTTGGTAGTCATAGAGGCTAAAAATATAAACTCTAAAACAACTGGCCTATAAAGTACCGAATTTGTTGTAAGTTAAATAAGTTAAATTTCCCTTTCACTAACGTATACTACTTTCAAAAGTGCGGAACATAAGCTATACGGTAAGTATATTTCGCATAAATAAACGAAATAAACTTTAATTGCCGTACCTGCCGTTCGATTATTTGCAAAACATTATGTAACGAGTATTATAAATAATAAGAAAAAGTTACCTTGTATTTTGAAAACTGCACACGCACAGGGTCACTATAAGTTAGTTGTGTATGTAAAAATATCACAGATAATCAGCAGAAATCACTGAAATTCCGAAAATTTCGGCTATCACTTTTTAACACGATTATTAACGAGAAGGCACTTTGCGTTAAAAAGAGTTCATAGGTTGTTATCCTTTTTTTTTCGAAATGTACTCGAACTACTTCTTTTTCGTCGAATTACCTGAAATTAAGCGTCGTTTATAATTTTGTTCATTTCTAAAAAGAAAGTTAGGTCGACTATTTGAATTTAGCGATAGGTACCAAATTATGAATGGAAAAGTATGCGTAGTGACATATTGTAATTGAAAGCCATTTTTAACTTAAAACGCGATCATGATTTTACTAATTTTTTATTTGTCGAAATAAAAAATAAATAAATCACGCGTTTTAATAAGAAATGTTTCAACAATAATGTCACGAGGTGGACTAAGAATTAAATAAACTTTGTTTAAACATTGCGAACGACGCGCGCACTAACCTCTTAGTACTTTATAGAGAGGGAAAGTACAAGTGAAAGGAAGTAAGGACGTCGGTAGGTCTAACAACCCATGAATAGACGACTATTCGGACTTCTGATTTGGATAAAATGATAGACAGCGGTTTTTATAGTCGTCTCACCTGGCTTCATGACGTTTGTTATTACTGGTTATTGAATATTAAAAAACTTCTACAGATGGCGTTCGATTATCATTGCCAAAAATATTCGAAGAAGGCGAAAAAAATCCCCCGCGTCGCGTCTGGCCAAACTGGTACGATTTTTAAATTAAAACCCGCACGCAGTTTTTGCGCAAATTATGTCACAATTGTTAGCCACTGATATATAAAAATTACGTAAGAATAATTTCTAAAACAACACGCATTTCTATTTTAATCACGAATGCGTGAGAGCAAAAGAAGAAATAATTTTTACTCGGTTTTCTCGTTTAACTCAAACGGATTGATTATATTAAACGAAAGAGTAACATGTAAGTGCACCCCTATTTACTAAAGGTGGCCGCACAAATGGGTGCAAAGATCTTAAGGGAGAATGAGTTTAACTTAACCCTGCAATGAAAGTGTTACCCATGAGTGAATTGTTGGACTTGGACTTCGAGTTCGCCACGTTGTTATGGTTGGGCCATTATTAGGTATTATTCCTATATGCTTCCAAACCGATGACACGATCTCGGGTGTGTGTGATGATTAAACCAAACCGCTGAGTGACCCATTCGCTCGTATGTGATGGTGTCATGTCATTGCCAATACCAAAAATCTAAGGCCTCATTGCTAACAGAGTTAGGGGATGATCAACTGCACCTGCAGGCTGGGAAGTAATTAGAAGCATAGCCGACGGTGGCTTGTTTGTTCGCTTACTCTAAACAATAAATGCACGTCCTGCGGCGCAATCCTTTCGCAAATAGACATGAGCTCCATTTTAACCCTTCAGCATGTCATTTCCATTCCAACAACGTATTCTGCCCCATTCAGAGTGTTTGGAGAGCTCAGCGCTACCTCGGGGCGTGATGTCACCCGGTGAGTTAATTCAATTAATTGATGGTGGTCGGGGATAAGCAATGTTTGTTTGCATGACCCTCGAGCGCAAACACGATCAGTCATTGCTGTCAAGCCACCCCTTATAACCGTACGTGTAGTTGTAGAGGGGCGTTTTTAATGGAAGGTGCGTTACAGTAGATTTGTTATAATAATGGTTCTCCGATCAACAGTCAGCCTCCTTGGCTTCTCGTAGCAAAATTCGCGTCCTTGCACCATAAATCGGCCGATGAAGATACGATGGTTTGTGGTAGCCGAGGCCCCTACGCCATAAAAATCAAATACGATTTATATTACTGCACAAAACAGGAGCCCTAATGTCCAACAATACAGAACAGTATTCAGGGATGTTCAAATTCGTGGCTCACTATTGGAATCTTCGTAATGGTGAGAAACACAGTATAGGTTAAATGCTTCCTTTTGTGAGTAAAAAAATAAATGCAGTTGAAATTTTTGAAAAATCTTTGAAAAAAACAGATAGATATCACCGAAAGACTGAAAATGCCAAATTTCGTTTTCATTGTCCCTAGCTTGGAACCATCAGTAACCAACAAAGACATCTACCAAATACAACACCTCTAATACAACCTTATAGTAATAGAACCGCCAAAAAGTAGTAAAAATTGCATGCGATGTCAGCTGTATGGCCAATGGCCATACCAAAGGATACTGTTCTCGAACGTTTGTTTGAGTCAAATTCGGTGGCTGATACAGTACATCAAGCTGCGGGAATAGCAAAGACACGACAGCAACCTGCGCCCTATGTGGAGGAAACCAGCCAGCTAATTACCGTGGATGCGAATACTACCACAACCTACTCAAATTTAAAACCACTAACCCTAGAACTCAAGTCCCACCCCTAAACTCCCAAAATCAGTTCCCAAACGTCCGCCACAATATGAGTGTTGTGTATTAAATAAGCGGTTCCAATTGCTTTTAAAAAGTATATTATGAACTAATTCTACATGTAAACTTTAATATAATGTGACAGACAATTCTAATTTTTTTATATAAACAAGTAACTAAGCAGCAGATCCCGGTTTGCCAACTTTCGATATTGGAAGATTTGAAACAGGTATTTTTTTTTCATATAAATAAACGTTTAATGAAAATAATAGAACAGGAACAAATTACATATAAGAATGGGGTTTTAAAACATAATAAATTTCGTCAGAAGAATTACAAAAAAAAGGTAAAGTTCCTAAAATACATTCGGCATTGCCTTTTTGAATTTCTATACTGATTCGCTGGTAAATAAAATGGGTTGAGCGGGACTCTCCTGTTTTTTGCCTGAGTCTTTTACCAATTGCCGCTGTCATGATTTTGGCTTCATTTCCGCACGGACCCATGGTTTCTACAGCGAATCCATTAAAAATAAATGTAGGTTCTAAGGCAGCGTAAGTATTTTTCTTCCTGCGTTCAGCTGAAGCGGCTGCAGAACCTGCTTTCTTCACCGAGGAGAAGAGATATGGAGGACATAAGGTATCAACACAAGTAAAGTCCCATGCCAGACATCGTCCTTCCATCCAAGGTGTTAAAGTTCTCCCATCAGGTCGTTTTTTATCAATTCCAAAAAGATGAGGAGGTTCTAAGATGACTGAATAACCAGCCTCATGGAATGCTCTTTTCTGACATTCTAAGATGTTTCGATGGCGACTGTACTTTAGTGTGTTCTTCTGACAAGATAAACCATGATGCCCAAACTTATCCACATTGGCACCACATTTACAGATATGAGGAGTACAAACTGTAGCACCTAAGCGTAAAGCAACACTTATCTGCAAAACAGAATCTTCAAGATGTGTGGAGATTTACCTTGGAGGAAGAGCTTGTAACTTAATTAAAATCAATATAACGGGTATAATCCTGAAGATATGCTGGCTGGCGTTTGGACCGGATTGGTCTGCCTGAAACATTGGCGGTTTTTGGTTCAGGAGGTGGTCGATTCATTATTTCATCAACTGGCACAGGCTGCATTTGTTCATCTTGTCGTTTCTCAGATAACTGTTCTTTTGGAACTCCGATTATGAATCCTGTTGGTGGCTTAGTTAGCTGGAAAATAACTATTTAAAATCGGAGCGAAAGTAATCGTCTTCTTCGGGACTAGTGTTGACCGAAGTTGATCAATGTGAGACTTTATTGACCGTTCATTATCGATTGCGACAATATAGTGCCGTTTTCCCTGTTCCAAATTTCCATATATCTTTATTATTAACATGGACACGTATTTGGACTCTGTCCCCTTCTTGAAATTGGCGGGTACCTCCGAAGGATGAGGCTATCGTTTTCCTTCCTATTATAAGTATTTGGTTTGATGGCGGCTAAACGAATACGCAGCTTTCGATTTAAATAAAGTTCCCCGGGTGATTTTCCATTTGAAAGAGGCGTGGCTCTGTGTTTAAGCATGATTTGCTGAACTTCAATCGCAACTTTAATGTTTGAACATTCCTCTCTGCTAGTCCATTCGTTGCAGGATGGCCAGGTGAGATAAACTTTTGGAAGATACCTGTTTACAGTATTCAATGTATGTTTTGCTAGTAAATGCCGTAGCGTTATCAGACACAAGGATTGAAGGGTACCCATGTGTCGAGAAAATATCTTCTAATAGTTTTATAGTTACACCAGTTGATGGTGCTTCTTTTGATGTGCGTACTTCCGCCCACTTTGATTTTGTATCCACTGCTATAAGAAAATGATATCCATCTAATGGACCTGCATAATCAATATGAAGGTGTTCCCAGTTCTCTTCTGGTTCTTCCCAAGGGTGTATTGGAGCTTTTGGTGGATTGTGCCGATTCTTAGCACATTCTTCACACGACTTTACTAATTTTTCAATTTCTAATTTTTGGCCAATAAACATATCTCCTGGCAAGTTGTTTCATCTTAACTATTCCAATATGGGTTGAATGAATTTCTTTTAGAATCTGTTGTCTGAGTGTGCTGGGAAGTATAGTATTCTATCTTGATAAAAGAGAATGCCATTTTCTAAAGTGTAAGGTTCATCTCCCATCGCTAACTTTAGAATGGAGATGCTGTATGATTTGAATTTCCAGATCTTTCGCAGAGTCTTGCTTAATTGTATCATAAGTAATTACTTCACTCGATATTTGAAAGACTTTCTGAGCAAATAATCGAGACACTTCTTCGTTGATTGAATTTTCTGTTGTAATTTTTGTTCTTTGGATTGGTGCCCTCGATAGACAATCAGCGTTTTCAATTTTTGTGTTTGTTTTACATTTCATTTTGTAATCAAACCCGGATAAAAATGATGCATATCGGAGTAGTCTTGCAGATGTCATTTTCGGTAGCGATTTGTTTTGATGCAGGATTCTTGACAATGGCTGGTTATCTGTTACTAATGTAAACTGTTTCCAAAACTTTATTGCTAGAGCTTCCCGGTCTAACTGGCTGTACCTAGTTCATTTCTGATGATGTAAGGCTGCGTGATGCATATGCAATGGGTCGCTCGCACTCGTTGATTTGATGACTGAGGATAGCAGCTATTCCTACAGGGCTTGCATCTGTCGTTAACGTTAGAGGTAATTGTGTAAAACGTTGGTTTTTCTTCAGTAGCATTCTGAGTGGATATGTCAAAGTTGAATAATCGCGAATAAATTTTGCATAATAGGTAACCATCCCGAAAAAACGTTTCAATTCTTCAATGTTTGATGGTCTAGGCATTTTTGATATTGCCGAAACTTTTCCTGGTGATTTGCTGATACAATTATGTTCAATTGTATATCCTATATATTCGATTTTTCTTTGGAAAAATGAACATTTATTTTTGTTCAAATGGAGATCATTTTCGGCTAATCGTTTTAAACGTGCTCTTAGATTGGCGATACATTCATCATCTGTGACACCGTGAACAATAATGTTCGTA